AATTTTATTATTTATTTTTTTATTAATAATAATTTTAATATAAAACTAGCCTTAGAACTTAAGATTAAAGTAATAAAACTTAGGATATTATAAGCTTTTAGCTAAGGCGTTATATTAGGGTTAAGTAATTTATTTTAGCTTTATATTTAATATTTTTTCTAAGGTATTAATATTATATTATTATTATTACTCCTTATATAACTAAGTAAAGGGCTAGTAAGATTATAATTTAATATAATTTTATATTTTTTAAAAGCTACTAGGCTAAGAAAATAAGGAGCTAGCTTAGGTAAAGATATTAGATTAAATACTGCCTTAAGATTATTAATTTAATTAATAACTAAGTTTATTATTTATAATAACTTATATAAATAAACTAAGGTAAAATAGCAGGAGGTATATATACCTTAAATAATTTATATAATAATTATAGGTAATAATATAATAAATATTAGCTACTGCTTTTATTAATATATTTATAAAGGAGAAAATCTAGATAATAATTTAGCTTATTAAATACCCTATAATTCTACTTATAGCTTAATTATACTTTAGATATATATTTAAAATATAAGAAGTATAAATATATTTAATATATATATATATATTTTAAAAAATAAATCTTAAGTAAGACCTAAAAGTAAAGTTAGATTATTAGCCTTAAGGTATTAAAAATAAAATATAAAGGCGCTTTATACCTAAATCTTATTAATTTACTATTAATATTTTTTAATTTTTTATATTTTTTATAATTAACTAAATATTATAAATATATTAAGGTATTAATAAATAAATCTAAAACTTTTAAGCGTAAGGGCTATTATTAATTAATTATTAATTAATTAATAATAAACTAAGTTACTATTAGAGGACTAATATAATAGTAATTTTTAAAAATACACTAGTTTTATAATTAATAATATTTTTCTTTTAATAAATCTAATATAATAATATTTTCTCTTAGTAGTATTTCCTATTTTAAATAAATATTTTAATTATTATATTTATATACTATATATAGTTTTTATACTTTTTAGCCTTCCTTAATAATAGTTTAGTAAAGTACTTAGTATATTAAATAAGGAAGGTAATAAAGAGAATAATAATATATAAGTAATTAAATTTATAAATACTATTAAAATAGTTAAGATATTAAATTTATATATTTTAAGTTTAATATAAGGGTAGTTAGTTTATTATAGTAGTATTAGTTATTAAATTTAGCTAAGGGCTATTATTTTATTTTTTTAGGGGTAGTTAGGTAGTGTAAATAATAATCTATTTTATAAATATAGGGATTTCTTAGTTTTATATAAAATATTATAGCGTTAATATAATAGTTATAATAGCTAGCTATTAATACTAGCTTATATAAAAATTTTAATAAAAGCTTAATAATTTATAAGTTATATATATTATTATATAAACTAGGGTAAGGTATTTTTTAAGAATATTAAGCTTATTAGCGGGTTATTAATACTTTTAATCTATATTATAAAGGTTTTATATTTTTTTAACTAAGTTACCTTAGTCTTAAATTATAGATTTTACTAATATATAATAAATATATAATTATATAAAATATATTAATTTTAGTAAATATAATTATATTATAAAATTATATTTATAATAAAGTAAATAAAAAAAAATAAAAAAAGATATTAGTTTAAAGAGGGGAAGATAGTATTTTATAGCTAAGGTATTACTTATTTTACTTTAGTAACTCCTTTTTTTTTTTTTTTTTTTTTACTTATTTTCCCCTTTTCCTTTTTTTATTTAGCTATTAAATAATATATATATTTAGTCTAAACTTTAAGAATATTTTATAGTAAATAATAAAAGCAGCTGGAACTGTAATTAATACTAAAATTAGCTTATAAAAGTTATAAATAAAAAATAAAAATAAAAAATTTATATATTAATATTAGCTTATTATAAATACTTTAATATTTATATAACTTCCTAGGAAGTTATTAACTTTTATAATAATAAACTATTATATAATACTTTATATTTATAACCTATATATTTTATAAAATAAGAAAAAGAAATAAACTATATTACTATATATAGCTAGAGTTATAAACCTAGAGTCTAGTAGGCTTAGTTAATTAACTAGATTAGTTAAGTAGTTAATAAAATAGGTAAAAGAGTTAGAAAAGGGGGGTATTAAATAAGGGTAAATTTAAAAGCTTAATTAACTATTTTATATTAGAAAAAAAATAATAATAGCTTTATTTTTACTAGGGAAATAGTAAAAAAAATTTAGCGCAGGGTTATTAATTAATTACTAAAAATAAAATTATATAACTTTAGTTTTAAATACCTAGGAGGCTAAAAGTAAAAGATACTATACTTAAGGAAAGAGCTTAACGGGACCCTGAAGTCTCTACTACCTATGGTTGTATATACCTATTGATGTAATGGATCGGTTTATAAAGGGGTATGTTGTTGAAGCTATATCCAAATGTTTGTTAAACTGATTAATACATCATACGCTTAGCTGTGATATCAACCACTATTGCCATAGTAAAGTAGCCAAGCGCACCCTCAAGTGTGTACATATATATGGATCTCAAAAGAAGGAATCCAGACGCAGCATATATGGCCCATTGAGTGTCTACTCATACATGAAATAGAATTCGTTTCATTATTTTTTTTTCTCTGCTTTTACAAAAATCTTGTATTGTTTCTCTCTCTCCTCACAGCCCGCCCCCCCTTCACCCTTTACTGCGGCGGAACATACGGCTTGACCAACATCTCGCTAAACTTCTCTAGCTTCTCCTTTCCTCGCACCTCCTCCACCAGCAGGGGCATCTTGACGACGTTGAAGTCCTCCGAGTAGAGCTCCTCATACTGGTCGAGGTACTTGCTCTGCATCTTCCTACGAGCGTTGCACTGCTCGCAATCGCTCTCCTTCTTGGGGAACAGCAGCTGGTTCACAACAATGCTGTGGGTGTCGATGCCGTAGTTTGCCAGCTCCTGGATCATGCGCTCCGTCTCGTAAAGGCTCAAGAACTCGGCGATGCAGACGCACACGAAAGTGGTGAGCTCGGCGTCCTTGAACTGGGTGTTGACCTCTGAGATTGTGCCGCGCAGGGACTCGAGCTTCTCCATCATCTCGTTGAGGTTCTGGCCGTTGGGCAGCGCGCCGTTGGAGCCGAGGAAGCCGTTGAGCAGCGGGCCGTACTGGGAGGAGAGCTGGGAGACCTTTGCGAGGGCCTTTTCGAGGACCGAGGGGAACTGGAGGAAGCGGAGGGTGTGGCCGGTGGGGGCGGTGTCGAAGACGATGGTTTCGTAGGAGAGGGACTTGACCTGCTTGAGGACTTCGGCAAAGGACATGGCTTCGTCGATGCCGGGGATCTATACATACGGCATAATAGGTCAGTTTTAGATTCATATATAGATGGATAGATATTGCATCCTGTCAAGGCGGACGTACAGCAAAAGCAAGATCCTGCATCATGCCTCCAATCCCGCCGCTCATGGCGTTGAGGTCCTCGGTGCTCTCGCCCTGGCCGGCCAACAAGTCCTGCATGCTGCCATTGGGATCAATCTCCATGGCGCTCAGGTTGTCGAAGCCGTTGATGAGGCGGGCCTCCTTGCCGAACTTTTGGTTAAAGGCATCGGACAGGTTGTGCGCGGGGTCGGTGCTGATGAGCAGGACGGAGCGGCGGACCTTGGCCAGCTGGATGGCCAGGGAGCACGAGGTCGTGGTCTTGCCGACGCCTCCCTTGCCGCCGACGAAGATCCAGCGGAGGGAGCGCTGGTCGAGGAGCGTTTGGAGGGACGGCTCGAGGGCGTCTTCGTCGATGACTGCGGCCATGGTTTGGGAGAGGAGGAGGGAGAAGACGGAGGAGGTGGGGGAAGAGTTTTAAAAATAGAAAAATGGGAAAAAAAAAACACCAAGGAGAAGGAGGAGGAGGAGGAGAGAGGAAAAAGCAGCAGAGGGCGAGGCTGGCAGTGACGCGGTCAAACGAGGCTACGGGACACAAAAAGGGATTCGCGGGGGGAGTGGGAGGGATTCAAGGGTGGCGCTTCGAAGGCGGAAGATGCCCATGGAGGGGCAATTCGCGGACAAAATAAAGGTGGCGGCCATGTGGTGAGAGCAGCCACCGGCGTATTCTGGCCCCTTGATGCGGTCATGCATTTTGCATTGTTTTTTTTTTTTCTTTTTTGCTCTTTTTGATGGATGCTAAAAAGGGAGATGGAAAAAAGGAGTGTGGCAGCTGTGACGACATGCCGCAACCCACGGACGGGCTGGATTCAGTCACGTCGCATTGCATTGCATTTTCAATGTATCGTATCGTATCGTATCATATCATCAAATCACATCATATCACCATCGAGTTGGTGGCTTGGCCTTGTTTAGCCTGGGCTGTGAACTTGAAAATCAATAGACCAGATGTCCTAGATGCAAGCAAATCACAGCCGCCCATTGGATCTATCACATCCCCAGATCACTCACAACCTATAGTAGGCCTAAGAGACCTACAGAACAGCCCGTCCGCTAAACAACAGCGCTCTCCAGGCGGCCACCTCCACTAACGGCACCCGGCGCACAGCGTGGCTGAGCCGCCCACTGATTGGATGCCCGGCCGAGTGCAAGTCCCGAGTCCTACACTAGATGGGACTGCAGCGTCGACTAACATCAACATGCAGCTTCAAGAATAGAAACACACACAACTCCCAGCCTTGCTTGGCCTTGCTGCTGTGTCCTGTCCTGTCCTGTCCTGTCACAGCCCTTTGTTCGTTCGTCTCACACTACCAGTTCCATACAAAAGAAGCAAAGAAATCCGCCTTCTTTCACGCTCTGCTTCTTGTGCATCCTCGCCTTCACTTCCTAAGCCCGCATCTCATTCAGCTCTACCTACCCCACCATCATCTCACCACAGCACCTCCATCTACCTATCTGCAAAGAGAAGCATTTCCCTCTTTGAACGTAAACCCAACATATCAAATCAAATCAAATCAAAATCAGAAATCAGAAATTCTCCATCATGGCCGACAAAGACCGCATCACCTGCCACGTCCTCGACACCACCGCCGGCCGCCCCGCAAAGGGCATCCGCGTCCGCCTCGAAGGCCCCGTCCCCAGCTCTCCCAACGCCCACACGGCCGTCAACACCTTCGAGTCTCTCACCAACGACGACGGCCGCATCACAGTCTGGCTTCCCTACAGCTCCGAGACCTCGTCCGGCGAGGTGCCCGTCTACACGCTCGAGGACGTCCTGGGCGCCGTCAAGGGCCCCTCGCGGTGGACGCTGCGCTTCGACACTGCCGGCTACTTTGGCGAGGAAAACACCTTCTTCCCCGAGGCCACGATTGTGTTTCGCGTCGAAGAGGGCCAGCATTACCATGTGCCGCTGCTGTTGAGTCCGTACAGCTACACCACTTACCGGGGGAGCTAAAGGGGGCAATGGGAGGACAACGCGGCTTCACAGCCACAGTCCGTTTCAGTTTCAGAGTCATAGTCAGTATGCAGAGATACATAGGTATCTTCTCTTCCGTCACCCATTTCCGATGGGTCAACTTTCGATAAAGATCGAGAGAGATGTATACCACCCTCGCTTTAGTAAAACACAATGACCAACAATGATAACGAAAGCGTGCTAGTCGTGGCAATGTCAACACTGTCACTCTTTTATTACACATCAGCTACTGCAGTTCTTTATGTGCCGTGTCGTTATTTCACAAAACAGATTCCCAAGCAATGTACTTGTTGCCAAGTTAAGGACAGATCCTTCTCTTGAAGGAAGAGCCAATAGTAATACCGTTGATTTCGAGACAAAGGCCGTTGTCGTCCGTCTGTTGTCCTGTTCCCAATTTCAATGCCCGCCCCAAAACTCCGTCGCTTATAGATTAAAAAATGTGAGAAATATGCTGTAAGTCAATTCACAAAAGAAAGTCGTAAATTCGTTCCATCTTTTTTTCTTCCCCTTTTTCTTCTTCCAGTGTCCAAAAGATTCAAGAAAAATGTATGATGCATGTCGCCCAGGCGGGCGTGTTTGTCAAAAGGCGGTATGTACTTGTTCGTATATGGCCGGCTGCTCAATCCCGTTCTTCACCTCGAGAGCGCCGCCACTTGCTGAACCGGTGGGTCTTCTTGGGACTGTGGCCTATGCTGTCAGGTGAAGATGGCGGTGTCTCGTCCTCCTTCTTGGTAGACTCCGCGCTTTCGCTGCCGCTTTTGGATTGAAAGCTGGCTATCGAAGGGCTCGTCAGCTTAGGGGCTGCCTCTCCGACCTGGAGGCTGCTGCTGGAGCGGGATAGCGACAGTGACAAGACGCTGCTGACGCGTTCGGATTGCGGGCCGATGATCCCATGCATCAGGGTTCGCCTGCCCTTGTGACGGTGTAAGAACGAGAGTCGCTTTCTCTTGAGAGCATGGTCGCCAGCCAAGTCATCGTGTGAGATGCAGGCGTTTGGCGAGAGGTCGGCGTCAGGGTGAGGGAGAGTAGTATTGCTGACTTTGAAGAGAAACATGTTAGTAAAGTGATGACCAAAGATGAAGAAGGAGAAGAAGGAATGGATATGTCTGCTCACGTTGATCAAAGGGTTCTGGAAAGCCCGTATCCCGATCTACACGGCGGGTGGTCCGAGATGTCGACTGAGAAGAGGCCATGATGATGAGACGCCAGATGGTTTGACTATCACGGAGACAATGGAGAAAAAGAAACGCCGATGAAGAAGAGAGAATCAAATAAAATAAATAAAAAAAGACAGAAATGGAATAAAAAAGAAGAATAAGCTGGATGGGCCTGACGGCAAGCTAGATAGCCGAATGACAGCAAGGCGCGTGGCCTTGTAAGAGGGAGCAAGCAAAGTTTGGTGGCTGGTGAGTGAGCGCCCCGCTGCAGATGCGTGGACGTAGGTGTAAAGCCAACCTTGGAAGGCAAATGTATGCTACTTTGTATGCGTAATGGAAACGCGGCGGGGGCCAGGTTCCTCTTAAGGGTTCCTCTTAAGGGTTCCTCTGAAGGGCCTTTGGTGAGATCTAATCGTCAAAGAAGGCGTTGAATGCTTCGGGAAAGTCGAATGAATCCCTTCATTTGAACAAGGATTGCTTAGACAATGCTTCAAGGAGCCGAACCGCCCGGGTCTAGGGTGTGGGAAATTCAGCGAGATGAGGGCGGCTACACTCTGGTTATAAGAGCAAATGCGTGAGCGAGTAGCGCCAGGCTGGGGGACAGGCACTCGTACAGATACTTTTGCAGGGCCCGTTAGTCTGTATATGTACTGTAGTCTAGGCGCTGCATGCATGCAGGCGATGAATCGGATGAATTGCTAGTGAGCACTTTGTTGTTGAGGCAGCTGATGGCACCACGGCTCAGAGGGCCCGAGACGCTACTAACCAGCGATCCCCGGCAGCCGTCGCCCTCGCCCTCGCCGATAGCTCGGAAATCCTCAAGCTGCCTTCAGGCTGCAGAGCTAGCAGACATCATTGGAAGCACGGAGATTTGGAACTTCAGCGAACTCCTGTTGTGGGGGGGCTGTCCATCAATGGATTCGCCTTGTCGAGCGTCGAGCATCTTCGCCCTGTCAATGGAAGAGGAAGAGCATCTCTCTCTGCTGCGCTGTAGCCTTCTAGGCAGGTCATGAGCTGCAGCCTGATGACTGACTGACGAACGACTTGGTTCCAGCAGCGCTCGTTCTCGCAAGACACCGTCGCTGGCCCTGCCCTGCTGAGCGCAAGTGTCAGACACCCGACGACTTGTCCTGTCCTGTCCCATCCAATCCAGGCCAGGCCAGCCGAATCCGAGTACTGTAGAGGCGGCAAACAGGGGGTCGTCAGATGGGGCTCTGCTTGGCCCTGGAGGCACTTTGACGGTCAGTCATGTCGAATCTGCTGCGCCTCGCCCTTGAGTGGAGATGGGGGTGAGTATCCAAGTATCCAAGCCAAGACGAAGAAAAGCTGGGGACTGTACTCTGTAGGCGAGAAGCACAAGTTCTGGCTCTTGTGTTAGCGGCAGCCAAAGAGCTGAGCCAAGCAAATCGCGTGATGGCAATTTGCGGTTTTGATTGCTGTTAGTATCAACAGTAGTATAGATAGTTACCACAGACTAGCACGTGTAGTCTGCAATCTGTCGTCTATTAGTGGCCCACCTGTCTCGCCAAAGATTGAATATGTGAGACAGTGAAGCAGTCCATCACAGCAGCCGGAGTAAAGAAACGGAGAAATGGAGTTGAGGAATCTTGCTTCACGTAATACTACTAAATCAGCGTGGTGAGAAAATGACGTCCGGTTGTACAGAGTCCTCGTACTCGTAGGTATTTCGACGGTCCTCCGTAGCTGCTTCGTACTTGGCATGTACATACTGCGCAGAGTGCTGGCCGCACCTTGCTCGATCCGTCCTTCCAAGACATGAATGTCTCACACATGGCCTTTCAGTAGGCGGTCAAGCATCTTGTCTACCTAATGGCTACTACTACTACTAGGTAGGTAGGGAGACCATCCACATCACTTGACGAGACGCACCGCCAACATACAACTTGAACCGTCCCGTTGATAATGCGCTACATCCTTAGGTAGGGTCACTGTACGGTACGGAGCACAGGATTTGATCTTATTCTCCCAGCCACGGCGGCTCTCTGATGGCAAACTCTAAATGCTAAACTCCGCAGGGCAAGACACTGACATGATGACGGGCAGCGCGGCAAAGGCGACAGACAACACACGGCGATTTCGTTGGTCCAAGTTTTACTGATGCACCACTCGGCTCTTGGCCTTGGGTCTTGGGTCTTGGCATCTTCAACAACAGCGGGACTCGATTCCCACACTACAGCACTCCGTAGTGGCTAACTTTTAGAGGCGGCAACGCTCAGTCCTGAGCTACCATCCATACGCGTTCCGCTGAGGGAACAACAGGAGCTAATCATGGAAAAGACGGCATGGCTGCTCAGACGGCGCCACGCAAGACGGCAACGAATTGGAATCGCCCCTTCAAAGCGGTGCGTCAGGTCGATGCGGAGGAGCGGCTGCTGCCACGGCCGGACATTCAGCCTATCAACCGCCGTTCTGGGGTCGAGACGAACCAGACACGCGCGGAGTTTCGAGACCGGGCGGCCTGGACCACTCAGTGGAGGGTGAGGTGCATAGCCCGTCAGGGTCAGAGGCGGCATAGGTTCAACAGGCTGGCGGTTGGAATCCGAGACGTCGTAAGTCCGACAACATGCCATCATGACAAAACACCCCCAGAGGAAATATGACGGCCATGAGGAACCTTTAAGAGAAAAAGCACAGGATTCGCCTCTCCGGGGCTCGGCGTTGTCGTCAGCCTTCCTTCAGCCGTCGAAGAATTTGGCCACTTCGGATATGTGTGCCGGACCGGCATGTCTACGGAGTACATACACTACCTACCATTTCGCCCAGCAAAGGGCACGAACCGCTTGCCCGGAGCGCGCGCTCGCCGGTTTCCCAACAGATTGGGACCATGTACTGTCTCGTCTGCATCACGGGGTATAATACAGGCATTTCTTTGTGCTACGAGTAGCACTAGTGTTGTCAACAGCAAGAGCATTGGGAAGCTGAGAGATGAGGCCGGCTGAACACCCCTTGACCATCCGAGATTGTCTGACCATGCTTTGCACGGCTTACTCAGGATTCACTCGTGCACTCGAGTGCTGTACGTTTGATGTTTACCCATTGCAACATTTTTTTTTTCATGACCTGAACACACCCCGGCACATCTGAACGATGAGCGATGTGCATGTGCATATCGATGACCAGTCTGGCTCTTCGGCTTCGTCCCCAGCTTTACTCAATCGGGCCGCATAAGCATGTCTCGCAGCCGTAGCCAGCCAACCATGACGCCAGGAGTCGCTAGCTCCAAGCTGTGCAGACGACTACAAGACAAAAGGGCAGACGAGGTTCTGATACATCTACGAGCAAGTACTGTACTGTACTCGTACAGAGTGCGTCGACGGTGGCTGGGTTGTTACCTCCGCTTTCCAGTAGGTATACGAGCGGTACTTGGACTGCATGAAGCCCCAGGTCTCCTCCGCCTCGGTACATGAGCGAGTTGCCGCTAGCATCTGGCGGTGACGAAACTCATCGCTACTAGTAGTATACATACGCATACGATGATTGTTCTTTTGTTCATGGGAACAAATCATCAGCGAGAAGGACAGGGTTAGGAGAGGAACAGAGGGAGCTAAGGTATATGCGATGGGCCGATCCAACGATACCCGGTTACGATGACAGTTGATCTCCCTCTCGTGGAAGACGGCAAGACGGCTTCAGCTGGCATCGGTTGATCGGCTCCGCACCTTGACAAAGAGACCCATGTGGTGTTCCACTGGCAGAGATGTCATTGAAAATCACTCATCGCCGTAGCCGATGCTCATTCCGGTTGTCCATGTGCTAGCCGGCCCAGCACTTGGCAACTCATATCCAGAAATAAGAGAAACATGGTCCTTTCCACCAGCTGTTGATCAGAATTTGTCCCTCAGCTGGCTAGGCGGTGATGGACAGTGATGGACAGTTCCCGATATTAGTTCGATCCATCCATAGACTATGACTTGGCGCTCCGAAGTCTAGAAGATTGGAGGCACGCCTGTGGAAGCTACCATTGATAAGTCATGCACTAGATTGGCTTCCACGGAGACGCTGTAGAAGCGAGATGGACTGGTAGACTCTCCCTCATGCCGTGCTCCTCTCTGGCCTCCTTTTTCCCCCCCTCCCGCAACTTGGGAAATATGTTCGGCCATCGAAATAACAAGTCGGTACTGACGGAATGATGGTCATTGGAGGCCTTACGAGTAAGGAGAATGAAGAGGCAGCAAGTCTCAGTACTGTTTTGAAGCGGGTACCGGTATTGCAGGCTCCGTCCCTTTAATACGTCGTTATTATACGCAGCGCTTGGACTCCATACCATCTTTAAAATGACAAACACTGATCACATAACCACACCTGGCTGTAGCTTACGGGGGTAATTGTTAGCCGATGCGCGTCATCTCTCAAGGACACACAAAACACTTGCATAGAAAAGTCAAAGAGAGAGAGGGAGGGGAAAAAAGAAGAAGAAGAAAAAAAAGAAAAAGAAGATGAATATGCCAGCCTTGCACACAATTATCCTCCGCTGCTCAACGCCCGCCTAACCTGGAGTGCGCCCAGTGTTATTAATAACTTGGAATCACGGACATGGAAAGTCCGGATCCTGCTGACGAAGCGGTGCACCGCCACTCCACGCACAGCCTTGGCGAACTCGTAATGCGCACTTTCAGCCACAGCTGTGAGCACTCTGAACATCCCCCGTGTCGAGGACATTCGAACAAACCCCTTGGAACGCAGACTCCGTCAATCACCATCAAGTAAATTCCAGCCTCTTGTCGATATCCGCGCATTGTTGCTCCGGTCCAACTCGCCGCCATGTCCGACTCACCGCGGGGAGGTCATACCGACTCCCTCGACTCTCTCGATACAGCCCCGAACAAGCCGGACAAGAAGAAGAGCCGTCGCCCTGCGAGTGAGTAGCTCGACGATG